AAAAAAAAAAAAGTAAAGTAAAGTAAAGAGGATGTATATGAACAGTTTTTAAAGTTTGGGACATCAAAACCCCACAAAAGGAAGACAGACAAACCAACAAATATAGGAGATTAGGCAGCTATAGCAATCCTAACATCATTCCCAAATTTTCTCCCTCTTTTTAATGTCCATCACTCATTCATTTTTCTCTCACATGATAATAATATAATATATAGATAAACAAAATTCAGAAGGTTATATATATATATATATATATATAAGATTTTGCTCATGATCATGGATAATATGCATTTTGCATTGACACATCCATTTTTCCATTGATAAACCTTATCTTCGGCAACCCTTGTCCATCATCTGTGCAGCTTCTACATTCTTCTTCAGCTACGATTGTGCAAGGCTGTCTTGCGCCCATATATGAATTGGACACATCATGTGTTTTGGAATAAAATAGTTGGATATCGATATGAGTGTATTGAGTAGCGTTAAGACACTTGCATATGATCCGTTAACATTATTTGTTCCTTTGTCTTTGAAATGATTGATTAGATTTTGCCGGCAGGGGTTATCTGTATCAATCATTTTTTAACACATCAGTTTCGAGTTTGTTGGGATATATGTTAGGTAATGATATATAGTAGTTTTTTTATATAACTTATTTATATAATTTATTATTAAAAAAATAAATGTATATAATATTATTAATTTTAATAAAATAAAAAATAATTATTAAATAATATTAAAAATTATATAAAAATATTATCTTTAAATAATTTTTCATATATATATATATGTAATATAAAGCTCTCTGTGTAGGTTTGTGTTGGGAAATTTATGGGATCATTTCCATATTTGGAGGTCATGCTTACTAAATTAAAGGAAATAAACAAAACTTTTAAGGTCGAAAAAGTCTGGACCCTTGATCATGGGAGGGGTCTACCCATATCAATGGTGTTCATATTTTGACCTCTAAAATTTATTGATAATTTTTTCCCCAGAATTTCCTTTCCTGTATAAGAAAGCTGAAAAGTGACATTCTTTTTCACTTTTTCAATCTTTTCTTTTTTGTGAGGCTCTCCTAAAATCATTCCATTGCTGGCCCCATATTAATTTTGCTTTTTTATTAGTGCTTAAAACATGTACTCCTGTCATATGTCATTTGTTGCGTCACTAAAATTGATATTATCTAAACTCATTTTATTTGTGATCACATATATTTTTAAATAATATTTTTATATAATATATGAGGATTGAAATGGACTAAAAGTAGTACTTTAAAATATAAATTTCCTTTTATTTTCGCCCCTTTTTCTTTTAATGTCAATTGAGAAAATTTTAGACTCTTTTTGTGTAACTTGAGGAGGGATTTTATTACACATGAATTGATGTTAATGCACACGCTTTTGAGAGGAGAAAGTGTGGGCACAGTAGTAGCAATAGCATATGAATGTCCCACGCGTTTCTTAAAACTTTTTCATTTTCAGATTCGAGAAACTTCGAGGCTTTAATTGATCACATTTGACAAGAGAACATCTACTAGTTGTTTTTACATTTTAGTTAGGTCAAATTGAGTCTTAAAGCCCGAAAAATTTAATGTTATGTCGGTAGCAAATAAAAAGTGATTCATACTTTCTTTTTTCTTATTAAATACTTTCTCTGTGTTCATTTTATTAGACGTTTTATGAAAGGATTTTTATTTTATTTTATCTAATGTTTTTAGAATATCAATGCCCTAATTTTCTTTTTCAATTTTACTCCCTGAAATAGTTAAAGTATGTCAAAAGCTTAAAGTCACTAATGACATGTTAGTTTGAATAGAAAAAGTTTGGTTTCATTTAAATAAGATTTTGACTTTGAATTTTGTGAATGGAGAAATAGACATTCACTACCAAAAAATTCATATTTAGTGACTAAATTATTGATCATTAAATCTTTATTTTTCGTTACAAATTATTATTAGTGATAAAATTTAAATCGTTAATAAAACCCTTGTCACTAATGCTCTTAATGACAAATTAAGTACCTGTCATAGAAAATATCTTTATAGTGATAAAAAAAATTAACATTATTAACAAGTTATTCATAACAATTTTATTCGTCACAAAAAAAATATTCGTCACAAATGCAATTATGG